TGTCTTTCAAAGCTGTGGGATTCCTGGGCAAGCTCAGTTCAGACAAAGGAAGATTAAGGGTTGCCACAGGTATGTGAAGATAAAACTGCAGATTGCCCCAGTGGTGTCTTCCCTTCTTGAGGCTGGTGCAGACCGTGGAGCTGTGGATACCGACACCAGAAATTGTGCAGCACAACATCTTTGGCAATTAGCAAACCTATTTCTAGTGCTAAAAAAACCCTTTGCTTGATGCTGGAAACTCTGAGCGGTGCCCTGTGGCAACGTGAATAATTAGCTTGGGGGGAAAACAATGGATTTTAATAATGTGAATGGGTTTAGTCTGGAGTTCTCAAGAAGTTTGCTACAAACAGGGTGACTAAAAAGTGCTGCCTCTTGCTGCTCAAAGAAAACACGAGGGTTTTTTTTTCTTTATAATCTTTTTCACTTCTGATTAAGTGTCCTTTCTTCTGATGTGCTGCAGGGATAGAGAGGAGTGTGAGGAAAGTTAAATTTGAGTAAAGAGCAGGGACTTTAACTTGGGGAAAATAAGAATAAATATTCCCAGTGCTTAAAACATCAAAGTCCTGGTGCCAGCTGTGGTTTCACGTGTGCAACTGGCACCTCAGGTGATTTGTATCAGATAAAAGCAGGGAGTTTAGAGGTGGCAAGGCAGCCTGTGAAGGCTTGGAGGCAAGGAGGTGACCGAGCTGAACTTGCCCTTTTGCTGCCCACGCGTCAGTGTGACTGGTAATGCTGCTAAATCACAGGGCTCCTTACAGATAACTGCAGGTTGGGTAAATGTTTCTCAGAGTAGAAATCGTTCACCTTTGTAAAAAAAAAAAAACCAAAAAAAAAAACCAAACAAACCAAACATGAATAGCCATCAGTCCCAATATTAGAGGCTGTTTATGTTGCAAAATTCTGCTTGCAAGTACTTGAGGAGAATTCATCCCTCTGATGCCTCGAACAAGCAGAGTGGTGCTTTCTGTACCACGAGCAGCTGGAGTAGCCGTGCTGCCGTCGCATGGGTGATGTAGTGGCACTCGCTGACTGCGGAGCTCTTTGTGAAGGAAAAAAACCAGCTCTATTAATCCCATTTTTAAAATGGCCTTTGTCACAAAATATGACAAGTTGTTTTCTCAAAGATGGGTTCTCAGCTGCTTCGGTAGCAGAGCTGGATGATCTATTTTTAAATTATTTTTTTTTTTAATATACATAGGTGTGGTCTTATGATTTTTTCCCTCAAATTCAGAATGTCCTCTCTGGTGAGGTTCTTCACCTGGAGGGGTAGCTGTGGACTAAGTAAGAGAGGACATGGCAGACATCCTTAGAAGGCAGGGACTTGCTTTCTGGTAATGGCCATCGACCTATCTGCGACTTATATTGAGATGCACATGGATAAATAGACAACTTTTCTTTTTCCCTGGAGCATCCCAGCTTTCTGCTTTGCCTCTCTGGGGCAGGCTGCTCCCAGCCATTTGTGTCGCTAGGCTTGCAAAAAATATTTTCAGTGAAATAGTTTTATCTGGAAAACTGATTTGCCCAAGCTTATAGCTTATGTTAATTTTAAAGAAACTTAATGAAGGGATTTTTTTTTTCAGGCTCAATGTTTGCCAGGAAAAAGCCACTCAACTCTGCAAACAGACTAGCCATCTGTTGGCCGCGATGTTCATGTGGGATTTTGGGAGATCTGGGTGTGAAGTTAAATCCCAACAATTTTTTTTTTTTTTTATTACTGCAGGGGAGATCCAGCCCTACGGTGGTGGGTGGCCCCGCACAAGGATGAGGGAATGGGAACTCGACCCTGGAACAGGCAAATCCACAGTGGCCAGTCTATTTCTGACTGATGGTTGGGCAGTCTCTCTCTCTCCAGAACTGAAAGGTTTTGTGTGGTTTTTGTCCCAATGCAGAATGGGCAAAATGCTTTAAATCACTTCTCATTCTGACCAAAGAAACAATTTCCTACGAGCTCAACCCTGAACAATAGAGCCTTGATCTTGATAGGGGGCTGTGGATGTTACTGTAATGCTAATACGTGGCGCGGTTGGCCTTTGCGCTTCTGGCACATTTCAGGCACTATATAGGGAGTCTGTAATCAGCTGCAGAAAAATTCCCTTCTGTGTCTCTCCTAGCAACCTCTTCTGAACTGATATTTGAAAATAAGCTTACTTTCTATATCATGATCTAAATATTTTTGACACTTACTGTCATTAGAATTCTCTTAATAGTTTTGGGACTAAGGTAATTTATCTTCAGGTTCTCGAGACTCCCTTCTCAGTTCTGTGGTCTTAAAGTAAAGCTTTTGAACTTCTAATCTGTTAGAAACCTGACTTGTATCCAGATTTTGCTCTTTTCTCTTGACTGTTACACTGGCTATATTTGACACAAAGTCAAATTAGTATACTGAGATGATAAAGAGATAAAAGCAGCAAGGCCATAAGTCACCTAGACTAGTAGGAACAAGCTGAGAGTCTTGAAAGGGATTTGGTTGTATTTTTGTTAAACATTTTAGCGCATGTGATGTGTTCCAGGCTGGTTTTCTACCTCTCTAATCTTGACCCCGTGTACACACAGAGTAGCTGCATGTCCTGCTGTGGAAACAAGGCAGACTGTTCCTACCAGTATGAACCACTGGTGTGCCACTAAAATTGAGAACGTTAAATTCTTTACCAGTTACCTGCTCGTTTTATCTCTGAAAATCTGAATTAATGAAGAGTGCAGTGACGGAGTGTGAGCATAGAGGAATCCATCTGGACAGAGTAGACTAAAACAAGGTGAGAGGTTTGTTGGTCTTTCCCCTAAATGCTGGCTGTGTGTTTGAAGTCCTGAGCGCTTGCAGGAGTGCTTTCTGCACAGATTTACATCCGTAGCCAATAAAAGAAGTGGATGGGAATCCTGGATGCAAATATAGCTATCCTGGGAGAAATGCACAGGGGCTGGTGTGAACAGTCTGGTCACTTTAATTATGGAAATCTTGCTCCATATTCTTGATGTTCTTTTCCTGGGGCTTCCTGAAGCTGTACTTGGTTTGTTGAAGACCTGGAGCATTTCTCCTTCCTGGGAGCTACTTGGGCTTGCTGCAGGATCCGGCACCAGGCCCCGTCTAGCTCTGAGTGCAGGAGGGGGCGTTCGTTGTGCCCTAGGCACAACTGGGTTCCTTAAGTCCTGTGGGTCTCCAAACTCTTTTTTTGGATCTGAGATGGCTCATTAATTACTGGCTTGTTTGGAATGGGATTCATTTGGGATTTGGTTGTAAGACTTCTGCCTTATGGAAAAAATCTGTCTGAGCTGAGAAAATAGTTGGGTCAGAGCCTGTGTTCTTTACTCTGAGATATTTTGCCATGAGCTGTGGTGGAGTTTTTTCTGAGAACGTGGTCTGGACAGTCCTCTGAATATGTCAAGTCCCTTCTGCTGTTCCCCCGTGCTTTTCTCTTGTGCTGCTAGAGGGTTCCCTGGTACTGCGTTGTGGGATGGAGAAGCCTTGAGGTCTGCTTTGGGTTCCTGGTCTTCCTGCAGTCCCAGATATGTAATAAATATTTCCTTTTCCGAAGACTTCCTGGAGATGGAAAGAGCTCGTAGGGTGTAAATGTTATTCTTTCTGTAATTGCTCCGTGCACTTCTCCTGGTAATGCCCTCAATCATTTTGTTAGTGGGATTTTGACCTTTCGTATTCCTGGGCATCTCTACCTTTTGAGAAAATTTGCTGGAGAGGAGAAAGGGAAGGTGGTTCACTTACCCTTCACTAAGAATTGTCTTAGAAAGTGGGGGCTCGTATGGAATTCGCCTGGTGCCCAGGAAAGTGGGCTTCCCCGACTTCCTCAGTTCTACTAATATGTTTCCAGAGATTTCCCCCATGTTGATACAAGGGCTTTATTGCTGAAGTTGACTTTGGTTTCAGTCTGTCCTCAAACTCTTGTATCATGTTAATAAACAGTGTGATTATTCCCAAAGTTAGCATCTGCATCCCTTTCATGAACCTAACTCACTTGCTGGGATTTTTGTAGGAATTGTAGGTCCTTGCTACAACAGGGACAATAATCAAACACGGCACCGCATTGCTTACTAATAGTTTTTTGAACTTGGGAGCACCAGAGCTGAGTCTGAGTGCGGAAAGCTCTGCTTTAATTTATCGTCGATATTAACTTGCGGAGCCAAAGAGCATATAAGCTGCAGCTGCTCAGGAGCTTGCTCTGAAGATCAGGCTGGGAGAGCTGTTTTTTATTAAGTGGTACTTGATTTAGTCCTAAGTAAAACCATTTGTATTTAACCTGATCCGCGAAGCTGCTGTAAGTGTTAACATACTTCAGTATTAAACGTTTCACTCTTGGGCATCATCATGCACAGCAGGTTTGTGTAAGAGCCCGTTCCTGAACCTGGAATAGTTATCCATTAGGTGAGTGTGTACATTTTCAGATGAACTTAAGCTCAGTCAAGCCTGTATCTAAAACTTACTGTCATGGTACTGGGTGATGTGAAAAGATCTGGTGATGAGTGTCCCTTAACATCAGGTCTGAAGCAAGCTGCCGTACTTCAGCGCTAAGCTACTCTCTGCAAACCTGCAGGGATGTAGCTTCTCCCAGAGATGGCTTTTAGCAGAGAAATCACTGGTACTTGGGGCAGTTAGGCATCGATCTGCCCTTTGTGAGCTGCTCTTGGGTGACTGCCAGGTGTAGCAAGCTACTTGCTATTTAACTGTAGGGCAGAGCAGTATATGCTGAACCAAGAAAACTCCTGAGCCAAAACAAACCACTATAAACTCTTCTCCCTCCCCATGAGAATGAGAGGAAGAGGGTTATTGCATCCAAATTCCTTTGGAGCTGGCACTGTGGGAAAACTCTGTCCAATCTGGGAGTCATTGTACTCGAGGAACTGTAATAAATCCTGACGGACCCCGCAGATGGGACTTGGATCACCCGTGTACAAGTACACACGCAGGCTGCCACGACTGAATTGGCACTTCTGGATACAGGAGCCTCTTCAAGTAGTTTGTGATGCACCTTAACCAGACTTCATGCATCGTAATGGGAGATCAAGGGTAGGTCTGAGCTGAGAATTATTTGTTGCTAGTGGTAGGTCCCAGGCACTTCTGTTCCTGGTGGGTCAGGAATATTGAAGCGAGCGTGGATGTGTGTGACCAGGAGCGCTGTTTGCTCAGTGCCATGAAGGTATGAGGGGGGTCTGTGTAATTGCTGCAAAGTGGAGAGCTTCCCGGGCAAATGTTTTGCCTTGAAAGCAGAAAACCTTTTGCATCAGAGTGAAAAATCTTGGTTGTAAAAGGGAACCTGGCTTCACTTCCTCTTAGCCTGAGCATCTCTGCCAAGTTTGCTGCTGTGATGTTCAGGATCTTTTATTAGATATTCTGTGCTGTTGCCCCCTTCCCTCAAATGGGGGCAGCCTCTGTGGTGCAGAGCTGAAGCAATCTGAAGTTCAGGTGGGAATAAACCTTTAATTTTTCTCCTACTCTGTTTTTTTTCTGATGCTTCCCTTGTAATTCATATTAAGATTATTGATTAAAGGTAATTGCTGTAGGATATTATTCACAATCCATTAACCCTGATATATATCGGAATTCTCCCGCAAGCTTGGGTGCTGAGACATCACCATTAATTGTCGTAACTGAGCTTTACTTGAAATGAAGATTTCTTGCCTTTCCATTTGTATTCCCTTCTTCCCAAAGCACTGGCGCTTTGATTCTTTCCTTTAAATGTTGAGAAATACAGTTGTTCTTTTCGCACTGTAACAGTGCCTCATAATCTCGCCCTTCTGCCATCTCTCTGAAGACGCAGAGTTTTTTGGTCTTGCAAGTCAAATTAACATGAGATTGCCGTAATTTGCATCGTAGCTGTGGGAGGCCATCTGACAGCGCCGAAGGCAGCCAAGGAGAATTGAATTCATCAGCTCTCGCATTTGTCAGAGCAGGGACTGGGGAGAGTTCTGCTCCTCTAATCTGGGCAGGAGAGTAAACATTTAATGTGAGCAGTTGGCAAGGGTGACTTTCTGCTTTGTGGCTCATCTCCCGAGCGCTGGAAAGGAGAGAGATCTCCCAAGTCCTGGCCTCACCTCCAAGCCTTGCTCCTGGGGTTTGTGTCTGTGTGTGGTGAGGCTTTGGAGCTGTTGCTGTTTCTGGATTTTTAGCTCCCTTCCACAGCCCAAATACGTTTCCACATACGTTGCTGATAAGGACTTGGCGTTTTCTTAAAATCTGAGCTTACGCTGTGCAGGAGTAGATGGAAAACACTAAGCAGCTCTGAGCGGGAGGGAGGCATCGTCTCAAGATTGCTTAATGCAAGGGAGGGGATTCTTCAGTGTGTTAAATTGGCTTTTACAGACGTCATTGCGGTGGTGTGGTCACTTAGATGTGTCAAGATGCTTAAATTGCATGTTGTAGAATATTTTGAATATTTTAAATGATTTAGTTGGACAGGATTCTAGCAAGTTATCTCTATCTGAGTACATGGACTTTGTTTCATGGACTAAATGTTTTCCTTTACTTGATGTATCAGTATTGAGAGCAAGCACGAAGTCACAATCTTAGGAGGACTCAATGAATTTGTTGTGAAGTTTTATGGACCACAAGGAAGTAAGTATGTGACCCAGCCCTTCTATGAAAACAAACCAGTGGCTCGTGGTGGGGAACAGTGAGATGACACATTCTTCTGGAGTAGAAGAAAAGATGAGCAAATCTGAGTGGGGGTGGGAAATCAAAGGGTAGCAGCGTTTGAAGGCTGCTCTCTGAAGGGCGGGGAGAAACACAACTGTGAGCATTAACGCAGATGAGCCACCTCCCTTGGCGATGAGCAGAGCTGGAAATGGCCTTCGGACAGCTCAGCCTTCAGCTGTGACCTTCAGCACCACTCTTGTTGATCCATCATCATGAGTTTCCTTATTAAAAACTCTTAAGTTTCGCATCAGTCACCTGAATTTTTGCAGAATTTGTAATTAAGATGGCTTTCCTAGATCACAAGTCAGGTCTCCAACGTGCCTTAATTTAGTAACATCTCTAAAGGTAAGGAGATTATTATAAAGTCTCTGTTTTTAATGAGGCTTTTATGTCTTTGTGCCGGGATCTTCTACAGTATCAGTTAAAATCATGTATTTCTTGTCAGGCAGCACAGGAAAAAGGCTTTTACCGTAGGAGGTTTGATATGAAATCTTTACCCCCTGATGGAGCTAAGTGTTCTTCCAAAGATGTGTTTTGCTTAATGCTGTAGTTCTATTTATTCTCTCCTGAGTTATAAAGTGTCTAATACCTGCATTTTTTTTTTCATTGCAGCACCATATGAAGGTGGAGTATGGAAAGTTAGAGTCGACCTTCCTGATAAATACCCTTTCAAATCCCCGTCTATAGGTAACCAATAATCACTTTCAGTCAAAATCTTTTTGCTGTTTATGACAGAGAGATGTTATTGCTTGCAGCAGTGTTGCAGGTGAAATTGCACCAACCCTCAGTGCAATTGTAAGATCTTTACTTCAAGTCTGCAGAATGCTTTTACCATAGACTTCCAGATATCACGTGCTGAGCAGAGAGGAAGTTTGGTCTTTTGGCTGAAGGGCTAAGAGCTGGAAATGTGATTCAGTCACACGTTTGCGTGTTGATGAACTGAGTCTCTCTACCGTGTGCTTTTTTTTAAATAATCTATCCATTTGTGGGTAAGGTGCAGGATACCACAGTGAGTGCTGGAGCCTGTTTTAAAAAAATGACTCATGTAGTATGGAGAGCAAAGACCACAGTTTGTGGTCTTGGGGTGAACTAGCTTTTGGGACCTCTTGTCCAAAAGTGGATGGAAGTGAAGGCAGAAGCTGAAGCCTCTGTCCTCTTGGACTAGGTGATGCATATGTGGAAGAACTGAGAAGCAGAGGCCTACTGCAAGAAAAATTGCAGCTGGCTAGACTGGTCAGGCTTGTTTAACCTTCACGAGCAAATAAGAGGTTTGATAAGGCAATGGTCTTTAGACTGTATCCATCCTATCTTTGCCCTTGGGTAACGGTGATCTCAGATGTCTTCTGGTATCTAATCCGATCGCTTAAGCTATAAATAAAATAGCCAATATTGCTTGAAAAACTGGAGCAGATGCATAAAGTTCCAACATGTGTATTCTGGCTTATGAAATTAGTGCTGGTAACTCAGTGACATGGCACTTCTCCATCAGAAGGGCGTGCTTGTGGCTCAAACCACTGGAGGACTCTAAAGAATGGAGAAAACTGCCTGAGGAGAACTGATGTGGAAACTTGACTGTATGGGTTGGACAAGATGGGTCCCTTCCAATATCAACATCCTGATTTGGAGTTGATAAGTATTGGCTGCTTTCTTAAAATAGACTCTTAGGCTACGAGTGCCTTCTATTTAAGATCTTTTTCTTTCTGGTGTGAGACATAATGTGTCTAGTTCCAAATGGGAATTGTATCTTTTGGGAAAGAGCAACACTGTTTTTATGCCATTCTTTACCTTTCTTTTCTTTTTTTTTTTTTTTCCTGTTGAAACCTTAACCGAACCACAGAAATGTGCATGCAGCTGAGTAACAACACAGTATTGCTGCAGCTATGCGAGCCCTTTTCTCCTTCCTCTTGAGTCAGCTCTGAAACTTGCTATAAACCTCTTGGGTTAGAGACTGTTTACGAGTTTCACAGTATGTTTATTTGGTGCCAGTCATTTTTCCCTCCCCACTTCTCAAGTGCCACAAACCGATGCAGATCAGGGTACTGTCATGTTGGCAATCTTAAATGCAGGCTGGCTACAGACAACTCTCAGAAAGCATATAAAACCCAGTTTCCTTGTTGTAAATTGCTTTGGTGCTAGTCTACTCAAGATTATTTTTCTTTCCCCTGATGTTCTTTCTGGGTGTATCAGAAATCAAAGTTGCTGGCTTAAAGCAAAACCAAACTTTCTTTCCAGTAGCCTACGAAGCCAGTGCAGCTAAATGTTGGCCAGGCTCTTGTATAATCGTAGTCCTGTTGATTTAGGCTCCCGTTACTTGCATAGAAGGTGGTAGGTTTGACCTTTTGGTGGTTTGGTTTGGAGGCTGTTTAGTGCTGGTTGGGATAGGCAGGAGTGAAAGGCAGCCTGGGGTTAGAGTTGGCCCAGCTTTATTTTCAGAACTTCTGCAACAAGACCTTTCTCCTTGTGAACCTGGGGAGGGGAGTGGGTGGGTGGTTGTGGAGTGGATTGTTTTCTGCTCAAATTGCTTCGTCCTTTCTAATGTTCCTTTTCCTATCTTCCTTTTAGTACAGCATCCCTCAGCTTTCTTATCCCCGCTGTGTTGTGACTGTTTCATTCCAGACTCATCAGACCTTCTAGCATGCTTCCCTTGCCCTCCGAGTGGCTGAGTGTCTGAAAACCACCTTTTCTCTCACAGAGCTCCCCAAAAGGCTGCCTCTTGCTCTAGGGCCTGCGTTGCTGTCTGTTGAGTGAGAGCTGCTGGGAGCACAGGTTACCTCCCGGGCAAAGCAGTGTGCCGCTGAGGTTTCAGGTTGAATAAACAGTCCACGCTAGACAAGAGCTGGCTTAGCAAAGCAGGGCTCAGCTCTGCTGCAGGGAGGAAAGAGCTGGGGAGTAAAAGTGCCAAGGAGAGCACTAGGACCTGGGGAGGACTCCCAACCAGCTACAGGAAGAGGTTTGTTTTTCTTTGTCTGGTTCCCATTTCTGCTGCCCCAGCCCAGCTTATCTGGACAGCCAGGACTGAGTGACGTCTCAGCCCCTTCCTCCGGGCCAGCTCTCGGAGAACGACTCGGTGTGCGGTGCCTGATACCGCTGGTTTTGGCATTACGGAGAGCTCCAGAGCAAGCCTTCGTCCCAGCTGAACCGGGAGCATTCGCAAGCTTGTGAAAGAGATGAAATCCTGTTCTCTCCCAGGTCTGCCAGTTCCAATGAGCCTGGGTGTCCTAACCCAGCAGTTCTCGGCCAGCTTGAGCTCTGGGTAACGCAGGGGTAGGAATTAGCAGGGAAGAAATTTGCCATGGTAGTCTCTGATCTGTAAAGAGATGGAAGTGAAGGATTTCAGAGATGGTGGAGCCTGTAAACGGACAGAAGGTCATCTAGAGCACACATGTAGCTTGTTTGCAGCCCTTCTGTTCTCAGCACCGCATAGCTCCCACTGCGATGATGACATGCAGAGTTCAAATTGTCTGTGTAAGTCACTGGCTTGTACAAAGTATAGAATCCAGCAGTTTCTTTTCCTTTAATAAATTACACTTTTATGCTGAAGCTCAGAGCAAAACTGCTGTCCTTGCAGCTTTCCTTGTTCCTCTAGTACTGTAGGCTAAAATTTTCTTTCCATCACAGAAAATCTTAATACAGTCTTGAACATGGCATGGGCTTTTTTGCAGCAAATAACATGATGGCTTGAAGCATATCCACGCGTTCTAGAAAGCTGCTTCTGAAAAATGACTGCTAATAGTTGCTTTCTAATCTGTTCAAATTGCTTTTATCCCAGCATGGCTCTGAGTATAAGGTATATGAAAACTTGGTGTTCTCTTCTAAAATGTGACTGACAAACCTGAATAGAAAAGGTTTTTAAAGTAGGTTCCAGATTTGTCCTTTGCCTTAAACCCTAAATGAGTGGTGGTCCTCTTTACCTTTGAGGGTCTCGAGCAGAAGCCTTTCCTTAGTGTGGTGGCTCTTCACCTGCCAAATATTTACTCCCTTGTCGCCTCCACAGCTCCCTTCTCAAATACATGTGGCATTTATTTCCTGCCCTTCTCAGGTAGGTAATTATTGCTGTAGTCTATTAAATGATGCTGCCCCAGGGACAGTGTTCTCCTGACTATCATGGAATGGTTTGGGTTGGAAGGGATCTTAAAGCCCATCTAGTCCAACACCCCCGCCCCAAGCAGGGCCACCTTCCACCAGCCCAGGTTGCCCAAAGCCCCGTCCAACCTGGCCTTGAACCCTGCCAGGGAGGGGGCAGCCACAGCTTCTCTGGGCAGCCTGTGCCAGGGCCTCACCCCCCTCACAGGGAAAATTTCTGCCTCAGATCCCATCTAAATCTCTCCTCTGTCCATTTAACCCCATTCCCCCTTGTCCTATCCCTCCTCCTGATGATGAGTCCCTCCCCCCTTTCCGCAGCCCCTTTCAGCCCTGGGGGGCCGCTCTAAGGTCTCCCCGGAGCCTTCTCTTCTCCAGCTGAACCCCCTAACTCTCTCAGCCTGTCCTCACAGGGGGGGCCTCAGCCCCCCGAGCATCTCTGTGGCCTCCTCTGGCCCCGCTGGAGCAGGTCCGTGTCCTTCTGCTGTTGGTGCCCCAGAGCTGGACCCAGCCCTGCAGGGGGGTCTCCCAGAGCGGAGCAGAGGGGGAGAATCCCCCCCTCGCCCTGTGCCCACCCTGCTCTGGGTGCAGCCCAGCACACATTGGTGGCTCACAGGCAGTTTTCCACCCCCCAACCCCCCCAAGTCCTTCTCCTGGGGGCTGCTCTCCATCCCCTCCTCGCCCAGCCTGGGTTTGTGCTGGGGATTGCCCCGACCCCTGGGCAGGACCTTGCCCTTGGCCTTGTTGAACTCCCTGAGGCTTGCATGTCCCCCCTCTCCAGCCTGTCCAGGTCCCTCTGGATGGATCCTTCCCTCAGCGTGTCACCACAGCACACAGCTCGGTGCCATCGGGGAACTTGCTGAGGGTGCCTCGATCCCACTGTCCATGTCCCCAGCAAAGACGTTCAACAGCGCCGGTCCCAACCCCGACCCCTGAGGACACCACTCGTCACCGCTCTCCACTTGGACATGGAGCCGTTGACCACAGCTCTTGGAGTGTGACCATACAGCCAATCCCTTATCCCCCGAGTGCTCCATCCATCAAATCCATGTGTCTCCATTTTAGGATGTCATGCAGGACAGTGTCAGATGCTTTGCACAAGTCCAGGTAGATGACATCAGTTGCTTTTCCCTTATCCACCAGCACTGTAACCCTGTTGTAGAAGGCCACCAGATTTGTCAGGTGTGATTTGCCGTTCATGAAGCCACCGTGGCTGTCACCAGTTACCTCCTTGTCTTCCACATGCCCTAGCAGAGTTTCTGGGATGATCAGGATTACAACGCAGGTAATGCCTCTGCTTAAAGACCTAAACCACCCTGCGACCTGTGTGAAAAGACCAGTTCCTGGGAGAGCTTCCAGTGGTTCATCATGTCCTGCAGTACCTTTCTGGTATTTCTAGCACTGCCTGTTCCTTGCTTGGTCTTTGCTGTGTAATCCAACAGATCCCACGTTGGGGCAGGATGATTTTTCCTAACGAACTGTAGAATATACAGCAAAAAGGGAAATGCGTGTCCTAGAAGAACACAAATCTAAACGGAGCCAGATGTAGGGCTGTCATGTTGGCTCTGGGCTTGAGTGCTCCCATTGAGATCAACTAATTCCACCAT